CAGCAGGCCTGACGGCTCTCCTCGCCCGCGGGGCAGGCTCTGGCCGCCCCGGCCCCGCTCCGGAAGGCGGCCGCGTTACCTGAGCCCGCGGCTCGTCCAGAGTGGAAGTGAGTCCTCGCAGAAGGCGGTGGGCCCGGCGAGCGACGCCCCGGCCCTGGCCCTGCCGTGCCCGCTTCGCCTCGGCGGGAAGGAGCGGCCGGAAGCCGGCCGAGGTCGGCCCTCGGGGGAGGCTGCCCGCCTCTCAGGCCCCCGCGCGGCCCCCACTCGCGGCCGGCGTGCCTGCCAGCTCCCTCCCTCGGCCGGCGGCGTCTTCTAACGCGACACTGGGGTCCCCTCCCGTGAATTCCGTGGCTCTTCGGGGCCTCCTGCCGCGCTGCCCTCCTCCTTGCCCCTCATTCTCCGCAGCGGCAGATGGGAGCAGACGCCCCGTCGAAGCCGGGGTGGGGGCTCTAAAGCAAGATTTATTTCTGTGAAGGCGGAGAGGACGCGGCTGGCGTGCCTCGCGCCTGGGGCGGTTGCTCAGGATTTCCTGGCGGAGCCTCCAAACCTGCCTGCGGGCGATCCTCGCCCTGCCCGCTCCCGCCGCCGCGAGGTGGGGCGGCCTCCCGTCCTCCACCCAAGCGCGCCGTGATTACTTGCGCGACGTTACTGTTATTAACATTGTTGCACCAGGCTATTATTTGCTTTTCTTTTTTGACATTTCTAAGGTTGAGGGACAGAAAGAACTGCAAAAATGTTCTGATTGCTAAAGAAACTGGTATAATAAATTACACTTTTAACTTTTGGGTGTCAGCTATTCTGTATCAAAGACAGACCAATTTATTTTATTTTACGTTATGTTGTGTTGTGTTGCCGCTGAGCTATTTCTCCCTTCTCGATGGAACAGTTTTAAAGCTAAGAAGCCAATATAACTTGGGAATTGCATTAAAAAATGTGCCAGTGGCTAAGGAATTTTCATGAATAAAGAAAGTACATGCTGATATAATGTACATATCAGTCATCCATGTTGAAAATGTCATTTATCCAGATATTTTTAAATGCCTAATTTGAATATATGATTTTAACATCATTTTCCCAAACTTGGAGACTGTTTAGGGCTATGTACATATGATCTATATAAAACAAACTCTGAAATTTTAAAATATTGATTTCTAGGCGATATTGTAATTTTTTTATGTATTTAGTACAGGGTCTCACTACGTAGATCGGACTTGTAGTGAACCTTACCGTTTTTCAGCCTCCCAAGTGCTGAGATGACAGGCACAGGCCACCACACCCCTTCTCAGTCGCCCTCTCAGCTCCGGGGCAGGGCAGGCACGGCAGTCAGGCCAGGGAGCGAACCGGCCCCTGGGTCTAGTGTTTCTTTTTCCTTTTTTTTTTTTTTTTTCCCTTGTGCAGTACCAGGGATTGAACTCAGGACCAGGCAATGTTTATTCTACAGAGTTATCTACCCAGCCCCTGGAGGGTATTTCTAACCATTAGAAATGTGTTCTGATGAACCAGATTAAACCTTTTCTTCTTAAAAGTTAAAAAAAATATTTCTGGCATCATTGAAAAGCTAATTTACTTTCCAAATTTAGGATCTGTTTAAGATCATTAGTAGATGAATAGGGACATCAGTAAAAAGATTAAGCATGCATAGCTTGTAAGTCAGTTGTTCAAATGGAGTATGTGTTGAACATCTGGTCTGTGTCGGTGGGAGTCGCTGGCCTAGGTGCCAACATGTATGTTTGAGTTCTTAAAGATAAAGGAGTTGGAGTAGTTAGTTGGAGTAGTTGTTCAGCCCTGAATTACTTTATTGAAGCTGAATGCCAGAAATGTTTTTAAATGTGTGCATTGCCTTGTAGTCAGTGCTAGAGTGAGTCGTGTACCTTTTCAGTTACATTGCTCTTTCTCAAGGCTCTGGGAAGTGTTGCCTTCGTACTGTTGCTTCTGTTATTATTATCTGACTTATGTAAGATCATGGCTAGTTAACTACGTCAGACTCTCATCCCCTTGTGGAATTTATTTGTTTGTTTATTTTTGTATTGTAGGGAAGGGTCTACAGGGTGTTCAGGACTCGTAGTGATCTGCCTTTTTACAGCCTCCCAAGAGCTGGGATTACAGGCTCACGCCACCATGCCCAGTCTCAATTGCCGTCTCAGTGCACCCCAGGTGCCAGGCCAGCACAGCAGGCCTGGGTATCAAACCCCAGGCCCTTATGGAATTTATTTT